TAAAATTAAAATATAAAATAATAATATGTATTAATATTATGATATATATTTTAAATGTTTTTAAAATATTTATTTAAATTTAATATGTACAAAGTTTGTATTAAATTCTTATTTCCGATTTTAATTTAGTATTTTAGTATAAGATGGGAATAAAATTTGTCGCATAATAGTAGTATATTCAAATTCCCTCTTTCATAATCTCAGTTACAAAATTATCATCATAAACTCAAAAACACATGCAACGAAATCCTGTACATGGCTATTCTCATATTACTGAATTTTTTTACTCGTATGATCATCAATTATCAATAATATTGTCCTTTCATACAGGCTACAACCTTACAGCTGGTATATATACCAATACACTTACTATTAACCAGTTTTTTTTTTTCAAGAGAGCTGTGTGTATCGTCTGTGTGAACACCGTGTTGGTATTTATAATAATATATGTTTAATGTTTATGTATATGTACATGTCTAGGTATAAAGGCGTCTAGCGAAATACCGAATAAAAATAAAATGTTTAAAACGTAGGTACGCATAAATATATTATATTTTATTTTATCCATAAACTTATCTATGCACAAAGRTAGATATGCGTGCGATCATTATTCATCAGTAATATATTGTTATATTCTGTGGTAAATTAATTGTTGTCTATACAGTGTTTGCGTAATATAAAATACTGTGCCACTACGGAGGCTATACCGAGACGAATTTTCTTCGAATAGTTAAAATTTGTACAGTATCTATAAACATAGGTATGTGATACATTAACCGTTGTTAATTATAGTACCTACGTATAATCGGTATCGCTGATTAAAACAGGAAACAATTAATATACCATTTATGAGTACATTACCATTATAATATTAATAATATTATACTAGGTGTACCAGCAGTGACGTAATTGTGAACCATTTTTTTTTTTTTTTGATGGGGGAAAACACAAAATATTAAATACCTCACTTTAAAATAGTTATTGATAACGTTCTAAAGGCATTTGTAAATTGATAAGTTATATTTTAAATCGTGCTGAATCCAAACGAATATATTGTTGAAAACATATTTATAATAAAAAATAAATACTCATCAGGAATTAAGAACATTAAGAGGACAAATGCGCATAAATAAATACGCCACTGTGTAACAGAAGAACTTGATGATAAATGAAATTACTTTTGTTCTAATCAACATTAAAACATTTTTTTTTTTTTTATAAATAATTATAGATGATTGTGCTTCAAGTACAGCAGGTACATAATTCATGTTATAGTAGTTTTAATAAAATAAGGTATGTAGAAATGTTCAAAAAATCATTTGCAGCTTGATAGTTCATAACAAAAATGGTTAGTTCTCAAAAACGCGTGATATAAATATCTAGGTATAAACTTGAAAATATGGTTCTTAAAAATCTCAAAAMTTTGAATTCGAATAAATTTATTATTAAAGGATACAAACGATGTTGAGTATGCTCGGTGAATCATCCTGTATATTATATAATATTGTATACATAATATACTTATAGTTACAGTACTATACATTTATATACACATTATACCGTAACCTATGCACGATAAGTAAGCAGGCACATTCATTTGCTATTTGCATTATACATACATGATAATATATAATATTAGATACTATAGTATCTAGGTAAATCAATCACTGTGTCAAAACCTCGTGACGCTCAGAATGCGTTTGTTGTTAGGTAGAAGTATCTATACATTGTTGCTTGTAACCCGAATTATTTTCACGTTTGGAGTTTGCTTTTGCGCTGCCTACTCGAACTCGATACTCGTTAGTTGTTATTATTTATTATTAACCTATTCAAATTTCAAACAATAATAACATTGCCTACATTTAATGGGTATTGTACATGCTCGACATTTACAACGATGAAATGGCACGTATACCTACGTATTATTGACGAGTGGCGACGACTGGCTTGGCCGATTGTTTTAAAAAAGCTTAAAACGGCTATTTTGTACGTGTAACTAGTAATTACGTATTACGTATTGTACCTACTTCAATAGCCGCGGCCTAAGGTAGTACACGATGTATTGTGTAAACTGTAAATCATCATAATATTGTACATTATGCACCTATGTATGTATATAGAGTCCAATTATTCTTGATTCATATTGTGCGCAATAAATGTTGTGTTGGTTTGTTGGGGAGGGGGAAGATCTGTGAAATAACCTATTATATTTATGTACCAAATATTTGTGAATATTAAGTGGGTAAAATTACTAAAGGCTAAAAGCTAAATCCTGATGGCCATGACAGAATATAAAAATACATTTTGTTATAAAAATTATCCCAAAAAAATTGAACAATAATATTTTTTGATTATGTGTACTCTAGACAGGTATGCAAAAATAAAACCTCAGCACCTTACATACTTATACCGTTGAAAAAGAAAGACAACCATTCAAGTTCAATTCAGCCATATTATGTAGCAGCGTTCTAAAATTCAAACGAAAAAGATTTAGACCGGTATTTATCAATAAAAGTAAAGCTTCACAATATTGAAATAAATCTAAAGCAAGTGAAGTAAAACAATACAAATTAATTAGCATTTATACATTTATAAAATATAAAATACTATAATAATGCATTAAGAAAAAATGTAATTATATTATTATCTTATATTTTTAAGTAAAACCATTATTAAGGTTTATTTTGTCTTAAATACTCGAAACCTGACACCTGTATATATTTTAATAACTATAAACAAGCTAATTATTCGAAGTTTGTTTAATACACGGAAATATATTTAGAAATTTAAAAAATTGGAATTTTGAATAAATAAATAATTTATTATAAGTATAAAATGGTGTGGTTGATTGTTGTCTGTTGAACATGTATAGTGAATTGCTTAGCATAATGATAATTTTAACAATTTAACTAGTTTTTTTTCTTTAATTAAATATTTTTCTGTCGATAAAAACAACAAAAAAGTATTTTAAAGCGATTACGTTTTTAGTTGTACTTTTGTCTATCTGCGCAAGAGATTATAAAAATAAAATATTATAATATAATAATACATATTTCATAAAATATAATCCATAGGTATCTTAACCGAAAGTTGCTGACGATGTGGCTGGACATATCCCCTGTGGCGCGGGGGGGGGCAATAAGTAATATTCCAGTCGCGTGAATACCGGCGTGACCCGTAGGTATACAAGTGAGGTCAACCTATAATGTTCAGCCGAGGAGCTTATGTCCTACACTGTGTGTATAATATAAAACAAGTATAATATACAATGTAGACTATCGAGAGATATCAGTTATAATATTTTACGAGTTTAGTATTTATTAGTAGAACAGCAGAACACATAAAGGAAAAAACGAATTGGTTATTCATTTTTTTTTTTTTGAACCTAAATCCGCGAGGTCCGGTTCGCCCCCACTTATCTTAATGTATCCCGTGTTTATAAAATACGGTACTACGATCATATAATGGTATTTAAATATTGTAGTTATTTATAGACACAATACCGTCCGCCTACAATACATTACAATATATTACATGTAAAACAGTTAAAAAAAAATGTAAAAATTATGACCATAAAATAATATTTAATTTTATTTATAATAATATTCGGGTCGAACGTGTTTCCCCGAGGCTCTCGGATACAAAATATAATATTTTAATTACAAAAGTACTTGGATGTGTACCGACTTGGATGTTGATAATAACTTTTATAACGTTTTTTTTAAATATTATACAGTGTACCTCTACAATAGTCTATATTATAGAACCTATAACCGTTCAGAAAAACGATGTCTTTTCTCGGTGGTTACTGGTTAGTCACACGAGGATAATTACCCTMGGATTATTAAACTTGTAGTGCGTCAATACGCGAGACCTACCCACCTTCGATAGGAAATTTWAATCTGATAGTTATTTTCTTTAGGTTTTTAGTATTTTTTCTGTTTGTTATGTAGTGGGTCGTACGAAAAGGAAATTATTTGAAAGCGACACTTCATGCTATACGTCGTACTTGATTTTGAAGTAGGTGATTGCTAATGTTTAATCTAACTTTTTATGGCCATGCGAGAGGGTATAGAAAATCTCACAAAAACACAATACAAATTTGTAATTTTTTAAACGTGAATACATATAAATTAAAGCCACCGCGTACTACACAATATGTGTGATTTATAACAGACCGGTGTAAATAATATGTGTCAATAAAAATGCTATAAAATGTAGGTACATCGTATCGTAATAAAAGTGGTGCGATGTTCACGGATCTGTATTGAATAACATATTTAAATTCGTATTTATATATTGAGCGAGTCCACAGATTTAACACACCCCGAATCGTACGCCCCACGCTATACTTATTATATCATCTATACTAATAATAATATGTATAATACGATAGCATAGATCCCGCAAAACGTTTTATCGCTGCACACTATATTATCATTTGTCATTTATTTTTCTTTCCCCCAAAMGGAAACGTCTGGCTGTTGTTGTTCCCAAGCGTGCGCCATCTTCGATCGTGATCTACAAGACGTCGTCTCTATAACCTAACCCAACTACTACGGTGGCGGGGGCGTCGAGCATATAGCGTTACACATTATTGTTACTATGGACTTATATCAATAATCACAATATTCAATGTGCGTTTATGATAAATTGTATGTCACACTGGACCCAGAGCATGGACCCTACATATAGGCGCAACCTCGGATCTCGCGAATGCTGCAGGAGCACACGGGCGCGTTCGTACTTGCACATTGTCAATGTATGAGTATATTATTTATTGTGATCTGCATACGCGTATAATGTGTTATACTTATTATGCCGTTTTGTCGGAGGTCAGTGACTTTGAGAGTCGAGCGGTCAAGAGACAAGATAGGCACCACCTTCGTGGTATATTATTGTAAAAAAAAAACGCGCAATGTCTCGTCAGGGGGGCGGGCGGCGCGTTAGGCGAGAACCACCGCCGACGCGACTGTTTTCGTCCTGTTGCTTTCGCGACGTGCTCGCGACAACTATTGCTGCAGCGTCCCGACAACCGTCGCCGTGACTCGCGTTTTTACACAATAACAGTAATTATTATAATTTTTTAGTCTTGTTAAAAAAATACACACACACGATTAACTGCAATAATATGGCTGCAACGACAAGTTTGACGGTTGCCGTCTTCCTGTACTGCATCACGGTCGTCGCCGGGATCACGACGGGATTAACGATTGATGTGAGTATAATATACGATGACAAGTGTGTTAAATTAATTAATATTATATCGATATGAACAGCGATAAAGCATATTATATTATAAATCTTTAAAATAAAAGTGAAGTCGATGATTATTTTTATTTTTATTACCTAGTACCTATATAACGGACGTATATTTATAATACTGTTAAATGTTAATAATAATTTTCACGTTGCTACCCAACACTGCGCAGCATTTGTAGGTACCTATATCAGTGGTTCAGGGCAGATGATGTTTTTACCATTATAGTGTTGTACATACTATAACGTGAAATTTCGTGTACGTTCCTGCATGTAATTTAGGTTCAGGATTTTTTAGTGAATTTTTTAAATTTTAAAGTTTTTAGTTTTAAGTTGGTATTTACATATTATTTTGCAAGATTTAAACGTGGTCGTTAAATTGAAAATTGTATTAAGTCTAATATAAATATTATGTTAAATTGTGTGGTTAACTCGTGCTCAGATGTCAAATAGAAATTCAAACAATCCTAATATTTTATAAATGTACGAGTATGATAACAATTTATGTTTTTTGTACGTTTTAGATGCATCTATAGTCTTAAAGTTTTCACTAATTAACGATTTATTTTAAATGTAAAATGTTCTCAACTAAAACAAGTTTATGACAACTTTTAATAGATACCTATAAATAAAAATATATCACCCATGGTTGGTTATTTAATCCATGTTCATGTGTGAAGTTATCAAGTGACTCAATTACACTATTTTTTCACCTTCATATTATAAATAAATAAATTTTCAAAAGTTTAGTCCCTAATTCCCAAACTATACAAGGTGTTTAAAAAACTATTGATGTACTTTAAAATATAGTGTTGTATTAAGTATATTTCGGTTCTATTATTTGTTTTATTATTTGCATAATATTATTATTTATTTAATGATAACAATATTCTAAAACATGAAATTTTGATAATTACGTGTTTGTATTATAGAACAACTAAAATCATTTTTAATTTATACATTTTTCGAATTTCAAACTACTTTTTTCAATTGAGTGACTGTGTAAATGTGTTAGGTACATATTCATATTTATAAAAAAAAATCACTACAACAAAAAGTGATTATAAATTCATAAAAAAAACTGCGAAAAAACTAATTGACAATAATGTGTTGTACTGTCGATTTTTTTATTCCATTCAAAAAATAAAACAATTGTGCCTACTATTTTTATTAGTTTATCATAACTCATAGTTATGCCTATAATATTATCGTAATAACCTAACATTTTATTAATTATATATCAAACAAGTGTAATATTAAGATTGATAGGTTTAAAAATATAACATCTTTACTAAGTAAAAAACAATACAAATGTATGATAGAATTTTTTTTAAATCATATTGAAAAGTGAAAACGTAAATCTTCAAATCGTAAATATTAAATACCGTTTTGTCGTTCTGATGTCTAAAACATAATATTATAATAGATTTTAATATTTTAATATTTTATTAATTCTTATATTGTCGTAATAATTATTGCTTATGCTGACCTTAAGTATAGTAAAATATTTATATTTATGATTATAACTTGAATTGAGTAAATTAAGCAATACGTTATAATATATTAAAAAACGTTAAAGTATTATTTACTTTGTCACACAATGGACAATAAAATATAATATTTCAATAAACTAGAATTATTATGTGTAATAATTAATCGTAGACAATAGTTAAACTATGAAGAAAAATCAATCTAGTCAGGCATATTTATTGTTGTTGCACATATTACATTTTGTTATATAATGTATTTATGTATTTTATAATATATGTATATTATTATGTATTTATGTGTAATTTATACTCACACGATAAAGGCATATTATTAAGGTCTAATAAATGGAAAAGCGTTACGAGAGTATACGTCCTATTGTTAAAATCAATATATAAACTTGAATTGAATTAAAAAGAAAAAGCGCATTTCATGGCTGAATAAAAGAAGAATCGTCATTTAATGTTAAAAAAAGACTAGCTATATGTATTATACCGAATCGTGAAATAAAATTATTAGTCTTATTTTATAAGAAAGTTTTAAGAAAAAATTTACACATGTACAATGTGAAAATCAATTGATTTCGGACTAAAAAAATAAAATCGTGAAAATTCGAATCTATTGTTAGTATATTGTGCATGTAAAAATTATCAAGAACAATGTAATATTTTGAATTCTTAAATATTTGCTGAAACGCCTGAAACGTAACGTGATGTTTTATATTGAGATTATCTTACGTAAAATTATTAATTTTAATACTAATAATAGGTATTATAAATATATAAAATTTAATACACAGGAGTTAGGACTATAGAACGAAAAGAAGTAATGTTTTATTAAAACTGATATTTTATATCAAATTAAACAATCATACATATTAATATTCAATAGCAATTATTTATAGTTTATACACACTTATTATTAAATGACTTTTTTTTAAATTAGTTTTTATTTATTAGTTGAAATTTAACTATTGTGTTATATATTTTTGAACAAGTATTTAATAGGAGTTCAAAAATGCTTAGTTTTGCATATCCACTATCCAGTAACTGTAATCTCGGGAGGTATATTTACGTAACATCTATTAGTATACCTAATATTATTTAAAAAAATTCTAAATATTTTCGTTAGAGGTTTTAAACCTTGTTCGTGAATCATTAAATTCAAATTTAAATCATCCATACTGACCATACTCAATGCCGAGGTATATTCAACTCTTATTTGTACAGCAGTCGGTTACTTATTATTTTTAAATTTAAATTTAAAATATACCAACACATCTTTTATAGAAATGTGCGATTGTATATAATATACAATCGTGTAGATACCTATAATTTAGTACTTTTTTATTTTTTTTTTTTTTATCATTTATTAGAAAATACACAATCTGTAGTAATAGTTACAATAAGCATATAAGCTGAAATTACAATGGTTATGAGTGCGTGAGGTGAGTAGCAACCCAGCGGTAACACTCGACATGATATTCTAATTTATTACTAAAGTTTAAATTTATTCGTGAATTACTTTTACGTGATTTTAAATTTTAAATTTACATAACTAGTTAACTTTTTGGATACATCTACTTGAAAAATAGATTAAACAGAACAATGTTATATTTAGCTATTGTAAAGTTTTATTACACAAAATATAGGTAATTATACAATTTTTTGAATACTATTTTATTAGGTAGATACTGTACAATTTTTTGAAAAGAAGAACTTCAAGCCATAAGTTGTTTATAGTATTTTTGTTCTCTAAAAATGACTTATAAATCCAATTAAGTACATTATGATAATGATGTAATATCTTAACTTTATAGTAATGTTTAGGTAGAACATATAAAAAAAAAAATTATTTTTCATAGCTTTCAATACTTAGAAGCAAGTAACATCTTCATGAAATATACACTTTTGTAAAAAATAACCATTTCCAACCACTAATGTCCAAACTAGGATTCAAAAGTTTTGTTAAACAATTGAGTAATGTAAATATTTTGTTCTACAAAGTTCTGGTGATAGGTAGGTATAGCGCGTTTTTGTAGAACAATCGTCGGAAGTCAATAAGTTTAATTTAATGGGTATAATGATGCTATCATATTTCACGACCCCAGTAGATTGTTACTCATTGTTACCATGGTTTACAATTTAAAAATACCATGTACAAAAGATAATTTCAATTATAACGATAAGTCGATAAACCGATCCTCTGGGCTAAATATACATGTTGCAAAATAATGATCTATATTTCGTCACATTTCTAAGTACTTCCTCAAGCAATCAGATTGAGGTACTAATTTCCAGCGCATAGTCAGTGACATGAAAAATAGCCGCTGACCGTTACGAATCTAGCGGCCGTTTCACTTCAGTAGTTCAATACACAAGTCACAGCAACAGTAGGCGCCATGTGCTATAATAAATGGCATAGGTTGAAAATCCATACCCATTGGGGGAGGTAAGCAATATGGATCGTGGTAGGTACTCAGAGGCCACTTTTCAAGTCACGGACTACAGTGCCCATAGAATAAATATGCAGGAAAAAAAATTTTAAAAAGCGATTCACGGTATTGTCCAATGAAGTTTCCAAAACCTGCTGTCGCTATAACTTAATGAATTTTCGTTTATAAATTATCGGGGTGCTACCCATCATGATAGATCATAGACCAAAATTTGACATGTATGATAGACAGTAATAGTCGGAAGTATATAACAACATATTTTAAAAAACTCACAATAGTATTAACTTTTCCGCATTGTCACAAACTTTACTTATCCTAAATTTAATGTTATGTGTTAGTAATGAATAATGAGGTTAGTACCTTATTTTATGTATTTATAATACACACATACATACTGAGACGTCCGAGGCCCAAAAAATAATTAGCTTATTAAGCAATAAATATTTTTGGTGTAATTATAGTAATTTTAAGCGGTGGGTGGATTTCATGGAAGGCATAAAATACAATTAATGCTCCAGGTCGCGCTTTTGAAGCATCTCCCACAAAATTACCTTTTTTGATTTTTTTTGCGGATGGACTTCAAAATTATTTAAAGTATTTAAATAAATTACGATTACCACGTAATAGAAATAAATTTACCTTAATATAAAGATTCGATTTTTTATATATTTTAATTTTTGCATGAAAATAATTTAAGACGATGAACTAGACAACCAACTAACATTTCTGTCTCATATAAAGTATTTGTGATTAATTTTTCCTTGATTTTCTATTAGAAAACTTAGATTTTTCACTCCACTGTTTATTATTAAGCTCACGCATTTATTTTGACATTGATGGAGACGTTATTATAATATCCAATAATCTCTTGTAAGTACCAACAAAGATTGGTTAGTACATTATTTAGTTTGAAATACCCGGTCCTAAAATTTATATTATACCCTTGAATCTAGATGAATATGGCTTTAAATTATTCAATTCATGTAAATTGTATAGTCGTTCAAGAAATTGTGTTTACATTATGAAAAAATGAACATACAAAGTATAACTGCACAAGAAGTCAATAACCTTAGTACATATTTTAAACGGCTTTAAACAATACAATTAGATATAAAATTAATTTCTCGAATAAAAATCAGTTGTAAATTATTAAATTTATTATTACATTACATTACTTTATTATTACATTATTATTTTTCAGATTTATACTTTTAAAATATATATAACAATGTTTAATATTTTTATAGAGGTTTATCCTTGACGAAAAAAGTATGTATGTAAAACCTTTTTTTTTTATTTATTTCTAGACAAGCAAGCCAACTTTTACTGTTGATTACGAACGTAACGAGTTCTTAAAAGACGGTCAAGTTTTTCGATATGTCTCAGGTTCCCTACATTATTTTAGAGTTCCTAAACCTTATTGGAAAGACAGGATTCAGAAGATGAAAGCAGCTGGTTTAAATGCCATATCAACGTAAGTAAATATTATAAATTATAATATAATATATATATTACCAAGGTTTAAAAAGTGAACCTATTTCAGTAGCCGAGGAGGGATAAGTGGATGWCCCTCTCAGAATTTTTTGTTGGTGAGGTTTTTTTCACGGTTATAGCATATATAGGTAATAAATAATACAGTATTTAAATAGCCCCCTTGATTTAACTCCAACTATGCTATAGATCTAGTTGGTTATTTTGAAGGGGAATAAGTTATTAAGGAACTACACCAGTTTTCAGAAAATCAATTTCTTTTTTTATTAGTTCTAAAAATTGAATTTTCAATTTTTCTTTAGTTATTTTTCTTTAAATGTCAATAACATTTTTTCTTTGGTTTGAAATGCTTAAAAATTAAATACAAGGTTTTTTATTAGTAATTTTAATAGCAACTGAGTTGTATAAAAGATACATTTTGAGAAAGTCATTAAAACCTCAACAATTTGCCAATTATTTTTGCAATTAAAAATTTATAAAATGATCATTTTTTATAGCTTAAGACTGAATATTAACAAGGATTCTCATAAATGTTTAATATTTGATATTTTATTCAAAAATCTAAAAATATATAAACACAGTTTATTTTATAAATATTTAAACGAAGAATATCAATTTAAGTTATTTAGTTATAATTTTAAAATATTATTCGTAGGTTCTTGAAACTTTTGAAGTATTTTATTTTATACACACATCAACATTTTTTTAAACTGAACTGTTTAATTAAAAATCTTTTAACGTGTAATATGCTTTAATTATTACATTATTGAGTCGTATTACAAAGTAAATATATAAACAATAACAACATTACATGGTATTGCAGTTATGTAGAATGGAGTTTACATGAACCATATCCAGGTATTTACAACTTTGATGATATAGCTGATTTGGAGTATTTCTTGCAGTTAGTTAAAGACGAAGGCATGTATTTGTTGCTGAGACCAGGACCATATATTTGCGCCGAAAGAGATTTTGTGAGTAATAACATACGAAAATAAATTATAAATTGAATTAAAATTATTGCTTAACGTGTTATAGGGTGGATTTCCATTTTGGTTGTTGAACGTGGTGCCTAAAAAACGTTTGAGAACTGATGACCTAAGTACGTATTATAAGGGGTTTCTATTGTTACGATCAACCCTTTATTTATTATTTGTATAGGCTAGTTTCCAAAAATTAATCAATGACTCTTGAAAATATCAACTATACGAAACTACAGTAATAATATGTTTTATATTCAAACTTAGGTTATAAATATTACGTTACCAAATGGTTTAGTGTGCTTATGCCTAAAATTGATCGCTTTTTGTATGGAAATGGTGGAAATATAATTATGGTTCAGGTATAGTAAATTAATACCTATTATTGCATGCCACATATTTTGAAAATTAATTTGATTTTTCTGTGTGTAGGTGGAGAATGAATACGGTAGCTACAATGCCTGCGACCAAAAGTATATGTTGTGGTTACGAGATTTGTTTAAAAGTTACGTTGGATATAAAGCTTTACTGTACACAACCGATGGATGTGGATATTCTTATTTTACATGTGGTGCTATACCTGATGTCTACGCAACTGTGGATTTCGGAGCATCGATTAAAGATGGTAAGTATCATATCGTATACTCTATAATACCAAATTTAAATTGAAATCATACATGTTTCGTAATTATTCAGTTTCCCAATGTTTTAAATATATGAGAKCAACACAAAAGAGAGGGCCACTAGTCAACTCCGAGTATTATGTTGGTTGGTTATCGCATTGGCGTGAACCATCTCCTGTCGTCAGCAGTTATGAAGTTGTGGAAACCATGAGAATCATGCTAGCTTTGAATGCATCGATCAATTTCTACATGTTCCATGGAGGCACAAATTTTGGGTTTACTTCTGGTGCCAACAAATTCGAAAGTTTCAAAAATCATGATTATTTGCCTCAATTAACCTCATATGATTATAATGCTCCGTTAGACGAAGCAGGAGATCCAACCGAAAAGTATTTTAAGATTAAGAAATTACTCGAAGAAACTGTAAGTCTTGATAATATAGGTATACTTAAATTTATATATAATACATATATATTCACTCTAACTATAATGGATTCCATGTTAAAGAATTTTTCAGTGTCAAATGAAATATCTCCCGTTCCAACACCTAAAGGTAATTATGGAACATTTACAATGCAACCATTGGTTAGTCTTTTTGAGAAGTCCACGCAACGGATTAAACCGGTTGAAAACGATGTTCCTCTTGGGTTCGAAATCATGGGTATAAACTCCGGATTTGTAATGTACGAAACTATTTTGACAGACGATCAAAAAAACGTCACAGCTCCTGTAAACCTTACTATTAGCACAATCAGAGATCAAGCTACCATATTTTTGGACCAGGTATATGTTATGATGCTTTATACATTTATAATATAGTGTATTAGTATGCTAGGGAATAATGATGGCAAATCTTGTTTGGGATACGATATACCGATTAAGTATCGAGGTAAACGTAAGACTATATATTGTTACTGTATATATAAGTAATTACTTCTTCAAACAATAGATACGTATACGTTATTGAAGCGTTGGTAAAAATTAAAAATGTACTACCTCGTGATAGTTATGTATCTTATAAATGTATATTATGTAATTGGTATATAACTAGTTTATACAGGATTTTAATATCAAGACATACAGTATGAAATCTCGACTGATGTTAATTTTTTTTTTCAGAAAATATGTTTATACATCGATATTTATTGTTGTTATCACTGTTTTAAAATTAAAAATGTTGGTACCTACAAAACATTTATTTTTTATTTTTTTAGGTGCAAATAAGTGTTATACCTCGTAAATATGAAAATACACCTATTAGTCTAAATATAAATAGTACCGTTCAAAAACTAAGTATTCTAATAGAAAATCAAGGCAGAATCAATTATGGAAACTTTATAGACGACAGAAAGGTTGGTAAATTTAGTTCATATCTAGCTCAACGGTTTGTTAAAATGTCATTACATTCATTACTATTTAAAATATACTTTGTACAGGGTATTTTTGAACCGGTATTATTGGATAACCACGTATTGGGACCGTGGAAGATGATAGCATACCCTTTGAATGAAACGTCTTGGTTTTCGACGATTGAACCACAAAAAGACTCTGTATTACCAGCATTTTATAAAACACAATTTACGTTACCTGATGGGTTAACAAATCCTTTGGATACTTATTTAGACGTTACTGGTTGGAAAAAGGTTGGTTTTCTACATCAGAAAAATAATACCTGATAAAAATTAATAAGATAGATTATTATTTATTGCGTAATTTATTTATTTTTTTATTTTATTATTAAAAGGGCGTTGCTTTTGTGAATGGAATAAATATAGGGAGATATTGGCCATCAGCTGGACCACAAATAACTCTTTATATTCCAGCTACATTTTTAATTCCACAACCTGGATTAAACACCATCGTTATGTTGGAACTTGAAGGAGTTCCCGAGAGTTTATCAATATCGTTAATTGATAGACCTATTCTTTTTGGTCCTATAAATATCTTGTAAACTAAACATTGACAATCCTGGTTACACTTGATATATTATATTTTGTTAATTAAATTTTGGTTAGTGTAATAAAAATTAGTAGGTACGTAGTTTAATTTATTTTCATATCATTATTGGTAATAATTAGCATCTACTATACAGTTATTATGGGAATAAATATATATGCATATATACAGATACTACTTGTCGTTGCCACCTGTGTAAAACATCTAATCGTTAAAGTTATATTTTCTGTTAACTTAATTACTAATTTAGAAATTGTCAGCAAAATAAAATTTTGATTCTTCTCTATATAACAGCTAGTTTTATATGTTTGTAGGATATACTATTACTTATGTCTTATATAGTTATATAATATTATCTAAGTTGATACATTAAAATAAGGTATACCTACAGTTTTTATTATTTAATATTATGAATATTCACCCTTACCAATTTGAAATAATTATTGTTAAAAAAATGAACTTTGTAAATGTACTAGTATATTTATGAAATAAAAATACATGGACATTGAATTATTTTTAAAATTATTTTAAAGCCTAATATTTATTTATATGTTATGTGTACCTATATCTCATAAATATTTTTAGAATTATACCTTATATAGAAAATGATAATTTAAATATTATCTCTATAAAAATAATAAATCTTTAGAGTTTCCATTTTAATAAGTAGCTAACTTTACGTAATAACTTTTCTGGTAAAAAAGTGAATTTAGTCAGTACTTTGGAATATTGGATTTTGAGAAGGGAGTTTACTGTAAGTTGGAGTATTGATTCAAAAGTAAACAATAATCATATTATATGATATAAATAATAAATAAATAATAATAATGAACTATTATGAAATAATAGACTAATAAATAYAATAATTTAGGAAACAATTAAATTAAGCTACAGTATTATTAATAGGTATAGTAAAATGAATTACTATAAAAATTACCCATAGAAATAGAAATCAGAAATCGAAATAATTTATTTGTTGGATATTAAATGGTGGTTTGTTAACTTTAAATAGCACATAGAGTTCCTGGGGTTTTCTTTCATATTCACTCACAAATAAGTAATAATTTGAATCAAGTCATTTGATCACGCTTAACCTATTTCACCAGCTACATAAAGTGGGGAAAACGCGAGTTGGGTCCCGAGATATTTGATCCCTTAAAAAAAACACGAGTTGGGTCCGCGGTATTATTTGATAATACTCGAATTGGGTCCGCGGTAATATTGTCAGTGCCGGTCGCACACGCCTTCCACTAGCACCAAATATATTGTATATTATTTTAACAAGACGTATAACACGATGTATAGATGTGGGGATGTGGCCTATAACTTTCTAGTAAATAGTAATAATGTAGTATGTACTATAATAATAATTTTAAGTTTTATGTTTACAACAGTAAAGTTTAACTTGGTAAATGTTTATACAAACCAAAATACTCATACAATTTATGACTTGGAAAAAAATTAATAACATTTTTTATTGAGTTAATTTTATTTTATTTTATATCTTAACTAATTTTATTCAATTATTTTCATTAACTTGCCCACCTTTGCATAAAATATACCGGGACCCAACACATGTGCTCCAAACATATACCAGCACCCAACTCATGTACCTCAAAAAATATACTGGGACCCAACTAATGTACTCCATAAAGTATACCGGGACCCAACTCTTGCTGTTTTTGAAATCTGAGACCCAACTCGAGTTTGCCCATAAAGTCTGTCAACAGTAAGCATTTATATTATGATATTCATTCAACTAGCATACCAAGATATTGTCATATTGAAATAGCTATAGTGAGTAGAGCCAAGAGTAGGGAAAAAAAACTAGTATTTATTGCGAATGGTGGGGGAGGTCTAAAATCTTAATCAAGACTGGTTTTCAGCAAAGAAACCGGTTGGTCGTTTCAACTTTCCAGTAAAGGTACTATGAGAATTCTTACCTAAATAATACGATAATATGTATGTTATATTATACGATAAATGATAATAATATGTTAATTTTGAATCCAAATCCTAGTACATTAAAACCTATAAATGCACGGACATCCAGTAAATATTATAGACTAACGATATTATAAGTTTTTAGTTTAGAACKAACATTGCTTATTTGCTTAYTACTTACTAGTATTAGTTGTATAAAATAAACGTTTCTATCCAATGTTACGTGGCAGTCCGTTTTTATAATAATCCTGTTTATTCCGTTTAACAGTGTTCATATTATTATTCATTTTCAACCAACACATTACATTGATACATTTTTATGCAAAATATTAATAACTGTTAAATAATTTATATTTTCCAATGGGCTAGTCAAATCAGTTTTTAAATCAGTATTATAGCAGTCTCATCTAAACCATACGACAGTATAGACGCTGTAGGTTCTCTATAAGTCGAATATTATATACGAAATACAATATTCAATGTTATTTAAACAAGACTACACTTTGCAATTTTACTCTTAATAATTTAAATTTTTGTTTATCTCTTATCAGTGAAAATTAATTTTCATTATTATAATTTTATCGAATATCATAATATATCTGAATAATTAGTTAATAAAAATTAGTTAATAGTAATTGTGCTGGATGCATTGTAAAATCAATTGCAAATACTATCAGGCTTCAGCTATAATACAATATGAATTTACTGTCTGAAAATGATGAAACACAGTAAGTACTTAGCGTATAAAGTATGTTTCATATTAAATATTTAAAAATAACTAAACATTAAATTAAATTTACATACAATATTGCTCTTTTTTAAATAATAAGAAAATAATGGTTTCCCATCAAAGTAAAGGTTACTATTGCTGAATGGTTTCCCCCCTCAAGTCGTTTAAGCCAATATCCATATTATATTCATTCATTTGATTTACTTATTATGCTCATTTGTAAAGATTGTAAATTTAGCAATTTTTTAATAATAATAATAATAATAATAATAATACGATATTGTTTTAAATTTAGATTGATTTATGTCATGTTTCAGATCACTGATAAAAAAACAAAAACTGAGGTGTAAACAAAAACTATCAAGGTGTCCCTTCATTGCTATATTATTCTGTATTTTGTTTCTGGTTTTTATTTATATTCTATACATTTCAATAAGAAATGAACCAGAACCTAATGAAACACAAAAGGTAATACTTGTAAAATTTGATATAGTTCTTATAATTATTATATACATTATACCTATACGTATATTGTATATAAGATGTATAGATTTCAAAAAAAATTAATCTGTTTTGTTTAACAATAATTTATTTCCCATTAATTCTTTTCGAGTTAAAATAATAATGCTACGCTACAACCATACACAATACACACTAACTTATTTATAGTTACTAAACGCACAGAATATTCTGTGTTATACACCTACACGTACACGACGCCCTAGTTATAAAAAAGTTCTATAAAATTGGACTTGGTCGGTATTGGATTTTCTTAATGTATTTATATTTTAAAGGTGGTATTGTGCAAGTTTAATATTAGGCATATATTATTTATGCTTAAATAATATTATTTAAATTAATTGAAATAAGCATATATCAATAATAAATTTATAACATAATATCAGAATATTTTCTATTTATATATTATATAAACGATCATCGTATAATAACAAAAAAAATATATTCATAAATAATAAATTTACTGATCGTTATAAAAATTATTATGTATTTTTGATAAATCTTGTTTCATATTCRGGTTTCTACTTATAATAAATGATAATGCCTTTTTAAAACTTTTTTATTTGTTTTTAATTATATGTAGACAGCTGAACGAACTTTTACTGTTGATTACGAAAAAAATGAGTTTCTAAAAGACGGAAAAGTATTTAGATATGTCTCCGGTTCATTCCACTATTTTAGAGTTCCTAAACCTTATTGGAAGGACCGAATTAAGAAAATGAAAGCAGCTGGTTTAAATGCTGTATCGACGTAAGTAAAATATTACAAAAATAATAAATACATTTGTAAATATCACAGGCTAATAATGACACAAGTTGTTAACACCTTTTCACCCAATAAAAAAAATAAATTAAAAATACACGCAGTTCATATTTTATAACAAATGCTATTATACTATAAAAAATGTATTATACGTGTTACATTTAGGTACTTATTTTACCTTGTGGTCATTATAATTAACGAATACGGTAGTACATTAGATAATATTATAGGTTAGGTGTGCAGACTTCTGTTTCAGGTGTGGATTTTATTTATTTTGACCACCTTACTCTCACAAAACTCCCCTTGAAAAAAAATAGATATAGCGCCAGTCTAGACAATTTTTATGATAAAATTGATAAAAAAATGTTGATGTTTTACTATTGGTTCTTTTTACCTAGGTACCTTCCTAAAAACAATACCCAGCCTCAATTTTGGATATAGCATTATAAGCCACAGCCGTGAACACACCCATGAATACTATAATTTAACATATAATGATTTAAAATTAGGACGGATAATATAATTAGTAATTTTAACAATATTTTATTAGTTGACATTTTTTTTTTCACTTAGTAATATAACCAACTCATTAAAAGATAAGGATATACAATTAATGTTTCCATATATTTATTGTTGGATTTAAATTCATTATTAATTTTTATCATAGATCATGGCTTAAGATAAGTTATTTATCTTATTTATCTTAAGCCATGTCATAGATTAAGGCTGTTGATTGTTTCTAAGGGTAATCGATTAGATTAATCTTTTGTTTATTAATTTTGTGTGATGATAGATTACAGTTGTTTACGGTGCATAAAATTATCGACAATGATCGAAATTCTAGTTTTTAATTTAAAAATTTATATTTTTAATACATACTTTGTGTACATGTTTAAGTCTATATTTACTATTTAGTGACAATTTAGAGCTACAATTAGTCCTCTGCCCTACTTATAATTCATTTTTCATAAATATATTAGTACAATTCAATCAACACTTACATATATTTAAATGTATAGTTGATTGTTTTTATTTTATCTTGTATTTGTAAAAAGTAATAATTCTTGACGGAGAGTAAAATAATATGTTTACAGATAAAAAATATACATAACATAATATTATAAAAAATAATAATAATTGTTAACGGAATTCTATAGTTATGTAGAATGGAGTTTACATGAACCTTATCCAGGTGTATACAACTTTGAGGATATTGCCGATTTGGAGTATTTTCTGAAATTAGTTCAAGATGAAGGGATGTATTTGTTGCTTAGACCTGGACCATATATAAGCGCTGAAAGAGATTTGGTGAGATAATATATTTCAATAAATTAAAAATCATATTAGTTAAATAATTGTTGTTCGTAATCTAGGGTGGATTTCCATTTTGGTTATTAAATGTGGTTACCAAAAATCGTCTGCGAACTAATGATCCAAGTACGTATTACTCGTATTAGAAATTTCTATTGAATGTTGCTGCAGTTAGTCTTCTGTATTCAATTTGTATGGAACCTATAGTTTTCTACGTTAGGCAATAATTTGGAACATTTTATCACTGTTCAAAATAAATTGGTTAATAAACATGAGGATCTGTTTTGATACTCGAAAAAGTATCATATCTAGTCAGATTTAATCGTTTATTTATACAAATAATTATAGAACTTAGAGACTAAGCCCCTCAAACTAGGCGTGTTWAGTGTTTTTACTTATTATTTCAAATCGTGAAATTTTCCTTCATAAAAAACAAAAAAAAATTGAATTAAAATAATTCAACGGTTCATTTTTATGATGTTTAATTGGGAGTATTATCAAACGTAAATCACTTTAAATTTTGAACTTCTATGAGTAATACAAAGTTATGACACAAAAATATCAAAATATTATATTTAAAGATTTAATGTTAAGTTCTAGTAATAGTTTTGTGTATTTACTCAATACTTATTTTTCGATGATATTTTAAAGTGACTATAGTAGAATTAGATTACTTATAAATTGAAATATATTTGTTTGCCCGTTGTCTTTAATAGGATAAATCATATTATATATCATTAAACATTTTTATTCTTTTATTTAATCACGTTGGGGATTTTGAGAAAAAAAAAGGAAATAAATATTTTATATTTACTTATTTATTATTTGATATATTATACTCTATATTTAAGATACCTATAATATAGAGGACCTCATAAAATAACATTTACCAATTTCATAACTTAGTTATTAGGTTATTCGAACTAGATGGGCAATCGTAAGTCACGGATTAGATTTAGAATTTGATCTATATGTTATTTAGAGTGGTTTAAACTACTCATACATTTTTCTGACATTTTTACAAGCAATTTCTGAGATTTTCGTCAAATTCAATTGAATAATTTTTGAGTATATAAGCTATACCACAAATACTTTTAGTTTTTTTGTTTGAGAACATGAGCACAGAAATTGTATGCATGCTTGTATCTGACTTACCCAAGTAACCAATGGCAACCATTTATAAATAAAACAAAGTTTCGATTTTTACGGTTAATCTCGAGACTACCTCTTTAAAATGCGAATATAGTAAAATCCTTTCTTATTGCACATCTAGATCATTGGATACCACTTTTTTTAAATTTCAAGCAGGGCCGGATTTAGGATTTGTAAGCCCCTATAGGCTCAAATGTGGTGTGGGTCCTACCAGAAGGATTTTTTAGGAAATAGGAAAGGCATATGCACAAATAGAGAGACTAAGCCACCTCTAAAACATCTTCAAATAATTTTCTTCCCAAAATCGAGGGTAGTGCAACTATTTAACTTCTAGTTTTTAACCCAAATCAATAAAATTTAAAATATAGTATTAAAGTGTAGATTCAATCACCACTGAGTAGTTAATAAGGTATCCAGCACTATTTATTATTATTGCAACGGTAGTAATTAAATTAACATTATAGTATAATTAATAAATAATAATAACTAGATTTAATGGTGTAACTTCTAATCAATTTTCATCTTAATTTTGTATTGATGAAATTACCTACTTATAATATTTTCATAATTTATTTTTCTTAAAATATCACTCTCAATGCTAAGTAGAGTACTAGAGTTAACATATTGAGCCTATCTTCTGCCATGAATGTTTGGAGCCGCTTTTTGCTCAACATAAATGTTGAAAAAGATCTTTATCCGGTGCTGTTTGTAACCAAAAGTGACAAGTACCTTCTTAAAGCTACATCAATATTAGAAAAACAATTTTTTACGTTTTTAAATATTTATTTTATAAATGTCAATAAAATTGTATTGATTTGGTCAAAAAACTTGAAAATTTAATGCAAGGTTCCCCATAAATTTATTTAATAGCCATTGGAAAATATTAGCATGTTTTGTTTTTTATAATCGTTTAAAGTTCAAATTTTGACAAAATGTATTTAATTGAAAATTGAAAATTTCTTTAGTTGTTAAAAATTTATAAAACGTTTAACTTTTATAGTTAAGGATTGAAAATTCAAAACAAGGTTCAATGTAAGTAGTTAATTCTGCAGCAAAAGAAATCTAAAAACTGCACAAACACAGTTTTTTTGTTATAGTTATTTTAATTTTACATTTGGATGAAATTACATATTAGATAACCAAGGCTAACAATTTTAGCTATATTGTTGTAATTCAAGAATATTATTAACGGGTACTTAAAATTTCTAGAGTATACTTTATATTCTAATTGTAACAGTTTATGTCATTAATGACTTATATTAATGCTTTATAATAAATTATATACACTTACTATGAATGACTGAGTGAGTCGAGAGTCGAGTACATAATGAATCTGAATTAATTAATTTGGAATTTATTTTATCGGTACCTACATTTGTTTTCGAAATAATAGTAATATTTTAATATAGTATAAAATATCCTAGATTGACAAACCATATCCGCTCAGAATCGTTTTTCGTATACAACAATATATTATCATTGAATTCAAATTTGATACTATCCATTACAGTAACCCACTTGTAAACTACTGTACAGTAGAGCTATTCACTTTCCTGATTTATTTGTAGTGTGATGTGTGTGGTGAGGGCCCTGTTGTGGTGCGGGCACTGGTGTGGTGCGGGCTTATAGGCTACAGCCTATATAGCCTGCTCTTAAATCCAGCTCTGATTTCAAGTTCATACGTTTTGCTGTTTTTGAGATGAAGTGATGAATTAATGAGTAAGTGAGTGATTGAGTGAGTGGTATTTGGCTTATATATATATTTCATTGTATATAATACAATAATAAGTAAATTGTATTTTTAATAAATTTTCTTTAATTTTAGGTTATAAATATTATATTGCTAAATGGTTTAATGTACTTATGCCTAAAATCGTTCCATTTTTATACGGAAATGGTGGAAATATCATTATGGTTCAAGTATGGACTTATCACTTATCACAATACCATTTAATATTCRTAATACGAATTTCGTATTATGATATTATAATATAATTTTTAAAACTGATAGCTGCTTGCTATAGGTAGAGAACGAATACGGAACTTATTACGCGTGTGACCATCAGTATATGATATGGTTAAGAGATTTATATAAAAGTTACGTTAAATCTAAAGCTATACTTTACACAACCGATATGTGCGGAGATTCGTATTTAAAATGTGGTGTCGTAGCTGATGTTTATGCTACCGTTGATTTTGGCGTTTGGGGTGACGATCGTAAGTCCCTATTGTACCTGCTTGCTACAAAGAAAAATAATGATAACTAAGCTTATAATCGATTAATTTTTTTTTTGATTTGGCTTTTAGCTGTTAATCAATGTTTTGAACTCTTGAAAAAAATTCAAAAGGGAGGACCATTTGTTAACTCTGAGTATTATATTGGTTGGGCGTCCTATTGGGGTTCACCGTTGTCCACGACAAACTCTGATTTAGTTTTGTCTACTATGAAAAAAATATTAGCTGTGAATGCTTCCGTAAATCTTTTTATGTTCAATGGAGGGACAAATTTCGGGTTTACTTCTGGTGCCGCCGAAAAAAATAATGAAAATTATAAGTCATCCGTAACTTCATATGATTTCGAAGCTCTACTGAACGAAGCTGGAGATCCGACCGAAAAGTATTTTAAAATTCAAAAATTACTCAAAGAAACTGTGAGTGTAATGAAATAAAAATGCATATGTATACAACTGTGGATATTCATGATTTTTGATTTGAATTAATTCCGTGTGAAAGAATTTTTCAGTGTCAAATGAAATACCCGTTCCAGCTCCTAAAGGTAATTATGGAACATTCACAATGCAGCCGTTGGTTAATATTTTTGAAAAGGTCACGCAACGGATTAGACCAATTGAAAGTGATGTTCCACTTGGTTTCGAAATCATGGGTATAAACTCCGGATTCGTGATGTATGAAACTATTTTGACAGATGAACAAAAATATGTCACTGCCCCTGTAAACCTTACTATTAGAAAAGTCAGAGATCGAGCAACCATCTTCTTGGACCAGGTATAATTTATATCTAATTATAATAATATCCTATATTCAACTCCGAGTTAAACATCCATTGGGCTCCAGACCATAGATTTAGAGTAATATAGAGATGCCCTTACTTAATAATATACTCATAAGAATAGGGTAATAATGTTATGAAGCAAACAGAAGTGAAGTTCTGTGTGATTATATATATGGTGGTAAAATATTTTACTCACAAAGTTTTTTAGTTTGTCCAATAAACATTTTAAGTACAATATAAACAAATATCCAACTTATTACCTATTACAAATAATATGTTTAAATTTACCTGAGAAAATTAAAATCTTTTTCTTTATCAAATGCGTCGTTTGTTCGTTTGTATAGTGTATACATATATATTTGACATCGTATTGTTATATCACTTAAGCATCCAAGTAATGTTGTAATAATTAAATAATGGATATTAATCCATTATTTAAAATACTGTCTTAAGTTAAGGTGTTAACATAAAAATAACAGTGTGTAACAATACACTATTTGAAACAAATTTAGTTTAGTTCTCTATTGCCATTTTAAATTTTATTTACGGCAAAGCATTTGTTCTATAACGTGTTTTTTTTTTTACTTTTAACAATTTTTTTGGCTATGGACCAATTGCGCCTAAAACAAAATTTGTATTTTAGGGTCAATATACCAATTGCGCTGCATATATTTTTGGGTCAGTGTACCAATTGCGCTGCATATATTTTWSGGTCAATATACCAATTGCGCTTGTATTAAAATTTGCCTGATATTTATTGATCAATTGATTACTAGCTAAAGTGACTGGTTTTAATATATTTTATAACAGTATCGTTCTAACTTGTGACTGGTTAGTATATTTATTAATTTATTTGTATTATATATTTTTTTTAAATTAGCATATTATTATTTTTTTTTTTTCTTATTAGGGTTAAGGCTTCGACAACTGAGGTCATTAGCCTTTAACTGTAAGGGAAGGTACTTTAGGTTTTTAACACTTGGGTTTTTTTTGGCAGAATTTTGAATGGGCACCCGTAGGTTTCTGCCATGCCCGGTTTGGGGGCGGCGGCCTCTCTCTCCAGACATCGCGAAATGCCCAAAGAGCGATGCCGCCCGTGACCGAGATTCGAACCGGCGACTGCGTGCGTCGCAACAGACGCCTTAGTCCGCTCGGCCACTCCACCCTCCATATTATTATTATACCTCGTGGTGACTAAATGAATTATTTTAATATTTAATGTAAGTAATTGTCCTGTTATACTTATGATTATATTTTCCTTTCCTCGTAGTGAAAAAATTTATTATTGAACAAATATATTATTCTGTAAACTAACCAAATTATATTATTCTAAATTGTAATGCCATGCTCAAATTATTATTAAAAAAAAATATTATTATTATTAAAGCATGCAAAATACAAATATCATGTAAACATCATATAAACTCAAAATCTTATTACTTTATGATTTAACCACCTATTATCTGATTATTATTAATATTATTTTATTTTAGATTTCATTGACTAAACTGTATAAACCTTGTAAAACTGTTTAATACATGTAAAAAATGTATAGAGCGCAATTGGTCTATCGACCCTAACATTTTTAGAGCGCAATTGGTCTATCGACCCTAAAATTTTTAGAGCGCAATTGATATATCGACCCTAAAATTTTTAGAGCGCTATTGGTATATAGACCCTTAAATGCTTAGAGCGCAATTGGTATATGAAAAGGTAATTTTAAGCGCAATTGGTAAACTCTAATTTTTTTTTATTAAATAATATTGTATACGTTATTAAAAAAAAACCCAACATTTTGGATTTATCAACAACTCACGTTCTTAAGTCTAGAAATGTTAAAAGTTAAAGGTATTAAATTTTTTTTCCTATTTTACGAGTATATCTTTATACGATTAAAAATACGGCGCATTCAGAGTATACATATCATGATTTTTATAGACGTTGTTGAAAAAAAACTATCCAAAAATAGGTAATTATCGAATTTCATATCTGGATTAATGAAATAGCATAAAATTAATTATGCTTCTTTTTTGTTTGGCTAATCAGTTGTATCTATCACCTTTTATTATTAAATTTATATTATGCGATATGCAGTTGATGCGCTATATTGCAGTATCGTCTTTAGCATAAAAAAATACATAAAATATTTAATGTAGTTAAATTCAAATTTATAACTAATTTACAACTATAATTTATATCTAAATTATGAAAATTTAAATAAAAAAAATTAAAATGGTGAAAAGGAATGAATAATAATAATAAATGAATAATATTCATTGTATAGTTTACAATGCCCATTTTCGTTAGCTTAAAAGTTTTATCATATTGTTATAATACTTAATGTATTGTAAATATATCATGAGGTAAGTTTCTGGAAAATCAAAATCAAAATTTTTATTTTATTTTTTGAATGTGTGTATTAGATAAAATATTTTGTAGAAACATATGGGTCTTTAAAACTCCTTATAAATCAATGGGACTCGATCTATGCCCCTTCTGGATCCACTTAATTTGGAATTAGCTGTATACGTAATATTATATTTTAAAATAAATGTATTAATGTCTAATGTAGTATACATTTTTTCAGGTACCAGTGAATATAATAACTCGAAAATATGAAAATTTACCTGTGAGCTTAAATATAAACAGTACAGTTAAAAAGCTAAGCATTCTAATAGAAAACCAAGGAAGAATCAACCTCGGAAATTTTACAGAAGATAAAAAGGTTTGTTGGTCACAATATAGTTAACCATAATTTGTCATTAAAATAATTTCATATACAGGGTATTTTTGAACCTGTAACTTTGGGTAACCATGTACTGGGTCCATGGAAGATGATAGCATACCCTTTGAATGAAACGTCTTGGCTTTCAACTATCGAACCACAAAAACACATCGAATTACCGGCATTTTATAAAACAACATTTACATTGCCAAATAATTTGTCGAAACCTTTGGACACTTACTTGGACCCTACTGGTTGGAAAAAGGTTCGTTTTTTTTATAAATATGAATAACTGACTAAAAATAATTTGAGATTATTTATATAATAAAATTGTATGCATTTTCTAATTTTTTTTTTGTTTTGTTTTATGTTGAAAAGGGCGTTGCTTTTGTGAATGGCGTTAATATTGGTCGATACTGGCCATTAGTTGGACCACAAATTACTTTATACGTTCCCGCTTTGTTTCTTATTCCTTATCCTGGAGTAAACAGCATCATAATGTTAGAACTGGAACGTGTTCCTAAAAATTCTTCAATATCTTTAGTTGACAAACCTAATTTGAATGGTACAGTTAACCCAATATTCTAAATTTCTAAAAATAATATAATATAAGTTCATAATGTTACATCGTTTATTTTATTATTGTATTAAGAATGGTATTATTATTATGAACAATTTATTAAACTTATATGTAAATATTTGTAATACATATTATAAAAACATGTTTATCATTAGTACTTACTACTTAATAAGGTTTTGAATACTTGAATCTATAATAATACTCAAATACTACTAAACACTACCATAATGATACATCGATACCTATAGATACTTAAATATTTTAAAAATGTAATTGAACGAAACATTTGTCAGAATACTGAATCGATTTCTTATTTATAGTAGGTAATTACAAATTTTCTGCTCCACGTTGAAAACATAAAAGTTGAACTTGATACCTACATGTGTTTTAATTTCTTTTTTAATTATAATAAGCTAGATATAAATCATTATACAATGTTTATATAACCAGATTCCCGGTGTTTTAAGAAATATAAAATAAATTTATATCTATAGTTTATACAATATAATATATTACGAATGACGKTTACCTAGTGTACAATGCTATTAATTATGTGGTGTTAATTTTCTGTCTTTTACAATAATATTTGTATTTGATAGCATTTTGGGACTTGTATAGGCAACCTATTTAGCACATTCTTATCATAAGCTTAGTGATTTTATTGATAATTTTAGATTAAATTATTATATTTTTATTTAACACTGGCACATGATTGAAGTTGCTAATTACTTAACTTCTATTCAATGTTGTGAACGAGGTTAGAGATTTCGGTGGTTAATTGTCCAACTTAATCATTGCGTGTATATCTTGTTAAATATTGTGATTACATAAATGCATTGAACTGTTACCGATATATTATAGGTATAATCGCTCGAAAGGTATTAAAATAATAATCTGCCATATTGTAACCTATATTTATTTATATAGTTATTTAATATTATTCTCAAATCTGTACAATGTGTCATTCATAAATACATAATTAGGTATTATATGTTCTAAAAATAACTTAGACATTTTTTGAAAACATTTTACACGAAGGCTTAAAAAATGTCGTATATAGTTATATTTTATTTATTAATATAATTTCCACTACAATTTATACGTGTTAACATAATATAGGTATTGTTACTAGAAAACAAAAATGTTGATATCATCATCAGTTGTGTACATGATGTTCGCCATAGTTGTTTGACATGGCCCTGCGTAATCCCATCAAAGCGCTAATTATTTCCGAGTTTTTCTTCTTCAGCATAATATTGGATTCGGATGGCTTTATTAAGTCGTTTGATGAACTATCTTCCACAAATCTCTTACCGACTAACTGTAAGAAGAAAACGCGTAAGTATAACGATTACCTGCATRTATCTAATATTATACAAAAATAAATAAATATATATTAGGCAACTAAATATTCACGACAGTCAGTGATGCTTGATTATAGATTCTGAGTGGCACGGCGAATGTATTAAAAAGATTTGTGTACCATACTTAGATTATAATTTGGTGTAAAACTTCAAATATTTTTGGTATAAGCAAAATTTTTAGGCTCGATGAAGCACAATTTTTTTATATAATTTTTTTTTTTGAGATTATATTTTGACAACTGATTACTGGTTGACATTATAATATTATTATTATTGATTTWTGTAAAATTGTTTTTAAGAACTATGTAGAGATTCATAATGCTAATGCCTTTATGTATTTTTATAAATCAGAAACTACCTATAGTCTTGCAAATTTTAATTTAAACACATCAAAGATTTGTTGCAAAAATCATCTCCTTAACAATGTATGATAAAAGAAGGTGGATTATCATTTAAAAACAATGTGTGTATCATCCACTCCTTAAATAGTATTAATATATATAATATAAATAAATAGATATTTGAAAATATGTATATTAATTGTAAGTACCTATCATTAAAAATCTCAAAACTATCATTTGAATAATTTCGTTATTAAAAAAAAAAACATTTGGGGAGCATGTTTCCTTAAATAAACCCGTTTAATGTATGCATTCATATAGGAATAATTACAAGTGTGGTATATAGGAATATCGGAACGGTATTGAGTTGCAAGATATTTTATTAATATTTAAAGTTCATATTTTACCAGTATAGGTTTAGTGGCAACCGGTGCGGTTGGTTCATCAATAACGAAATTGTCGTCCGGAACATACAAAGAACAATAATTAGGACGCAACGGATATCCGTTGGTCATGATGATGAGGTATGTCAAGTACGTACAAATCAGTAGTAAGTGATGAATGTGGCCAAAAAGTTTCCTGAAAATTAAAAGTAGGTTCGTAATCTTCGAGAATTGTTGAACAGATTTAATGTGAAACAACAATACTGGAGGTAGGACTTAGCCATTTTGGTTATTTTATGGTAATTTATATAATAACCACCCTTAAGTTTTGTATTTTGCATCCATTAATGACATTATTTATTTAATGTAAAACAATATTCAATAGTAATAAAATTAATAAGCGAAAGCGAAACCATTTTCAAAAAACTTCACTGTTTTCATTTTTAGGATATTTTTAGAATCTTGAAAATATCAATCAGTTTTATTACTATACGTTCTATTACGAATTAAATGTCTGTTGCTGGTCGTTTAAACAACCAATTGTTGTAAAGCATAACAATATATTGCCTTCGAATAAAAATAATTTTTAGTTGATAAAAATATCATAATATTGGTATTCTAAAACAATTAAATATTTAATGACATTACTAGTAAACATAAAAAAAACTGATCGTGGTATTTATTTTATATTAATTTACACTTGTATTGTGAATTTAATTGTAATTTATTTAGAGGTTAATAGGTATAATATTAGTGTGTTTTATTGTTGATTTTTAAATGAAAAGCTAAGTAAAATAAATAAATAAAAAAAAAAAACAGTAATTTACTCATAATAAAATATGTTCTACTTACATGTTGTTATCTTACTGTCTTCGGTGGTTCTGATTTTATTACCGAAAACATGGATATTATATACTAAAAACGGATAAGAGTTATACAATACTATTATCTCATTATTCTAAATACACGTCCATCTAGTATAATATTGTGAATTAACCGAAAATATTTCACCAGCAGATATAGGTACTCTACAGGAGTCCACATACAGCACTATATTCAAGAAGGGTGGTTGGATTAGGGTCGAAAACCCCCATCGCTTTTTTATTATTATTACTATTATATGACTACACATTTTATGTAGTCTTATTTATAACTTAAATTTTTTTTTGCACAAAAAATGAATGTGACGTCTTGTCACATGCAATTCAACATTTCAACCACTTTATTAAGAAATATACCATTGCACCATCGTTTTATGATTAAATTGTCATATTTTTTTTGTACATATCGTGACATAATTAGTACTCGGGAACATTTTTAAATAATTTTTTTTGTCCATTAAACAATAGCGTAAAATTACATTTTATCAGTTTCAATGAATAATATAATACTTATTACTTACACAATACTATTGAGCATTTATATATTATGCAATATAATTAATAAACGCACTTGTGTTATACAGATATATATTTTTGATGAAATATTTTCTTCCAATAATTCGTAACATTTTACAATAAAAATTTTAAACACATGATTATATTATATAGGTATATATATATATTTTGTATATATATAAAAAAAACAATTAATATCCTGTTTCTGTCAATAAATACAAAATATGCAACAAAAGAATCGGACGATTTCATAATAACTTTATACAGTCAAATGTATTACATTGTTTTTCGTCTTTTCATTTTGAGTACTGTCAGTTGTTATGTCATAAGCAATTAATGTAGAACCTTCTGGCTAAGATGTGCATGTGTTCAGTATGCATGCTCTTCGTCTAAGAAACATTGGATTATTCCATTTCATTTAGTGTTGATTCTTAGCCATTTATTTTGTTGTTTATTTTTAAGTTGATTGTAGTTTTGTAAAGTTAACACGCTCGACGGATAGAAAGAAGTTCTCGGTGACGACGATTGAAATCGAACTGTGGCAATACGAGAACGACCGCCTTCTTATTACCTGCAGGACGGGCTTTAGTGTATATTTCCGTCGAAAACTTTCGTCCAGTCTGACCTTGTTATTGTGTTTGAAATGTTTGAATACAGTTTGCCAAACCAATGTATCATAAATAATTACAAATTTACAACATATTATCGCGTGCATAATAGTATATTTTATTCGTACTAGCTGTTTGTCCAAAAATTAATAACTTCTCGGCGCCTATCGTCATAGTACAATATAATAATATTAATGTACACAACACTTGCCCGGTAACAACAAAGCAGACTACAAATTTATCGATGTACACGTGTGTAAAGTTTCGGTTGGGTAACATCATCGCATGTCGTGGTAGGTACAGATAATAATTATATTACTATGCTGTATTGAAATAAAAGAAAAATATCGRAATAGAGTAACACATCTGTTGGTCATCACTTTATAATAGTTTGTATAGCAACAAACTAGCAATTATATTTAGCCACCGGTTTACGGTTGAAGACGTAAGACGCGTTAAAAATTAAAAAAAATGTCCAGGAATCTAGTTTTCAGTACACTCTTCTAATCGGGAATAACAATAAAATATTTATTATTTTTTTTCCGGTGCTTAAGCATTTCTTTCTCCGACTATTATATATCTAGTGACGTTTGAATCGAAATTTATATTATTTTTGCATTTAAAACTGTTAAAGTATTCGCATAAACGTATTTACTCAAAAGTACATAACATTCACATTTTAATTTTCTTATACTCTGAAAAAAATATAGAGGATCTAGAGGATAAAATCCATTATTATGGTATGTTATCATTGGTACAAATGGTCCAAGGATTTATAAATTATTATAGATTAGCCTAGGTTAACCTCCTAACCTCACCTCCACTATAATTATGGTTCATTCATGAATTATGATCATAAAATAATACTAACTATCAATTATTATATTTAGGTATACCTATAATATATACATTTCATTGTTTATACATTCAATATTTATTTTACTTGTATTTGGTTCAAGCAAACGGAGTAACTGACATACATAATATAATAATATATAGGTGAAATGTGTAAAATATGGTCTAATATAGTATTCTTGCGTTCTGGCCATATTTTTTACGAGAAAAAACAATAATAATTCTTATCATCTGTGTGCTGTGTCTATCAGAAATACTGTACATATATTATGAAAATCAAATTTAAAAAAAAATATAATTTTTTTGGTTCAATTTCAAAATTATATTACATTTTATTTTATACGATATTTACTTCGAATATTAAATTTTTACTAAAGGTGTATCCGGTCTTCACAAATCAGTATTTATACGCAGTGACAAAAATAATTGCCCAGTGATTGAATTTTTATTCTAAATACCTGTGAGATTCTAATTTACTTTTCTATCCCTATATATAGACCCTATTTTAAATCCTTGAAAAATGCTCACATCTCCCCCTGTTGTGCCGTACCTGTGTTAACGCATATTTTTTTTTCATTATTATATCAAAGCAACAATAAGACGACATTTAAATGCCAAATAACTCGGTTAGCAAATTCAATAAAAATCGTAATTTTTATACGCGTATGTGAATAACGTAATTACACCTGGAAATAATATATTGTGTATTTTTTTTTTTAAATGCAATTTCCAAATGGAGGGTTTAACTCCGGATGATTAAAAAAAATTTCTGGTTTGCACATGATTCATGCAAACAAAAGTTTTTTCTCCCCTTTGCGTGTAAAAAAATAGAAGAAAAAAACCTTCTAGGGTAATTTTTTTATTCTTTCGTCTAGTTACTACTTCAACTGTATAGGCTGTTTTTCTCCTTGTTGATTATTACCATAATATTTTTTTAATTTTGTTTTTCATGTGATATAATAACACTATATTGCTACAGTGGTAGCTACTGTCATGGTTAAATTAGGTAGGTAGTTACCTACGTTAGAATGTTGGATTGAATTATTTCATTGTTATATTACATAATACATAATGAATATATTATACATACCATATGTCTATATTCATGTAATTTTTTGATGTTAACATTTAAAATAATTAACGATATTTTCCAACTAATTTGTAGGCACCTATATGATAAAAATAAATCAGATGTTTATATTAATGTTGAGTGTTTTATTAGATTACAGATTTAAGTTTATAAAAATATATAAAGTTCCACTGTTAATTAAAGTTATTTAGCACTAGTAAATGAAATGTGTTCCAATTATTCTAATTAAAACTATTAATGAATTTACTAAACTTTGGAGAGCTGAAGTCCATAAAGTTATAAATAAGCCTCTGAACCAAAATTGACGATTTGACCATTAAAACTTTCAGAAAAAAGCACTTTCATTAAAAATATGTTTAGTGTTAAAAAAAAATTATAATAATTTTGCTGTTAATACAATTGTGTTATATTTTTTAAATATTATAAAAAATTAATAGTTAAAAATAATGAAACGTGTCTTTTTTCGGTTTTTTAAATGTCATGATCAGCAATAATCATTAAAAAAAACGACTGAAATAACATCATAATAAGATACACCTTATATTATATGATAAGTATAGAATAAAAACATTCGCAGATTCACTGAGATGAACAGTATTTTTTCTCTGCAGCCTCTCGGGTTATTGTAAAGCTTCTGTTTTTAGTACTGAATAGTTAAATTTTATATTGAATTATGTGCTTTAATTTCTGCACAAACAAATAACAACTCGAAAATTATAAAATTTTAAAGTACAATTTTTTATCGTTTTATTATAATATTCATTAGTTGGATAATAAATCAGTTACCCCTTCGTGTACAATCAGCAATATAAAATAAAATAGTAAAAATAATAAGTAAATAGTAAAAATAATAATTAAATAGTAAAAAAATAGTTAGTAGTAATATAGAATTACTATAGAAACTTTTGACCTCAAATCAGAGTTAAATTTTTCAATTAATTTTCATACTGTATATTTGGAACAGAAAAAAAAGCGGGTAAGTCGTGGATGTCGCTCTGCTGTACAGTAGGTTACTGTAATGGATGGGATTAAATTTGAATGCAATGATAGGTATCATTGTACACGAAAAACGATTCTGAACGGAGATGATTTGTCAGTCTAGGATATATTATATTTTAATATTGTCATATATTCTATTTTGAAATAAATATTTTATTTTTCA